CTCCTCCAGCACCACAATTCAAAGGCATCAATTCTTCGGCGGTCTGCTTTCTTTATGGTCCAGCTCTCACTTCCATACATCACGACAGGAAAAACCATAGCTTTGACTATTCGGACTTTTGTTGGCAAGGTGATGTCTCTGCTTTTCAAGATGCTGTCAAGATTTGTCATCGCTTTCCTCCCAAGAAGAAGGCGTCTTTTAATTTCGAGGCTGCTGTCTCCATCTGCAGTGATCATGGAGCCCAGGAAGATAAAATTTGACACTGCCAGTGTCACAGGCAGTGTCAGATTTTTTTCACCCTCTTTACGAGGTTCTTAATTCCTCCTCACTTTCTGCCATCAGAGTGGTAACCTCTGCATATCGGAAGTTGTTGATATTTCTTCCGGCAGTCTTAATTCCGGCTTGGGACTCCAGTCCAGCCTTTTGCATGCTGTATTCTGCATATACGTTTAATAAGACGGTGGGACGATATACAGCCTTGTCATACTCCTTTCCCAATTTTGAACCAATCAAAAGATTACATGACTGTAAAATAAAACATCCCGTGAAAATAACCCTAATATGTTTTTGGAGCAAAAATTAATATAGGACCCTGTCTTATTTTCGGGGAAACACGGTAAATAATTTGAAAGCTGATTTATGAAAAAAGTATTTCATTTAAGTATCTTTTTAGCCAGTGCCAGGAGAGGATATCATTTTGGATAATGGTAGGAGGATTCCTACTCAGTATATGTCACTTTCTGCTGCAACTGAATTTGGACGCATGAGTCATGAGGTAAGCTTTAACATTTAATCCTTCCTTAAGATTGATATCCTTAAAATGTTCAAGATGGAGATTGTCAAATATACGTTCAGTTATCATTCTATAATCTTTAGCTGTTCAGGAAACTTTTTTTAAAAAAAGTAAGCTGTACAGATTTTTCTTTTGGAGATCTGAATATTTTTCTGTATTTTCTAAAAACCTTTACACATCTATTCTAGCACTGGCACATAAAGAAACAGGATATGATCCTGTAAAAGAATCTGTATTTTTGCCATCCCATCCTTTGGCAATGCATGTATCACTCAGTATGCATGATGTTTCACTTAGGCCATTTACTGAAAGTCGGGCTCCTTAGAACTGTGTAGTCCTAGCTCTTCACCATACAAGCTGCCAGTTTATCCTTGGATGATTTGTGCGCTTTGACTTTACATGGTATTCATAGATAAATCTTAACATATTTGTTGAAGCCTCTAATAGTAAAAGATGTTTGCGGTTTTGGGATTCTCATATTTAATGTGGTGTCCTCATTTATTTTAGGAGATGCGTTATAACTATTATATGAAACATCAAGTGTGTTTAGATGAATTACAGGCACAGATCTCTCCTCAAAATGAAAATTTTCCATTATTGAAATGTTTGTCTTCAAAGAGCGCAACTTCAAGATTTGTTCCTTCTTGTCTTAGTGCTAAAGCAAAAAATAAGAAAAAAATCGCAACATTACAGAGACCATGTTTTAGTGAATCTGGTGTGTCTAATCCACTTGGTTTTACATTCAATGCAGAAGCAATGAACTTCAATTTCTGTAGCTCAAACAATAAACTGAATCTTCAAAGAGTGAATCAGTCTCAGAATGATGCCAAGGAAACTTCCCAATCAGCAGTTAGCAATAGCTGTCAAAATACAACAAAATTACTTCAACCTCATGTAGTAACACTTTCTTCTGAAGACCTCATCTCATCTACTGTATTTCCAAAAGTATCTGAGTTAGCAGCAGTATCTGTTGCTGCTGTAAACCCATGTATTTCAGGTGCTGTGTCAGGACATTCAGCTTCACCTTTCATTTTTGGTCCAAGTGGCAATTTGGGAACAACTCCTTCAAGTAAGAAATCGTCTGTAATGTTTGAAAAAGAAAAGGTGGCTTTCTCCACTCTTTCTCTGGTTAGATCTGAAAGCCAGGATTGCAACATAAACAATATAAATGTTTATAATTCAACAAATGGTTTCTTGACAGTTGCTACCACTGTCTCTACCATCAGTCCAAAGTCTGGTACAGCTGTAAGTGGAAATCCTTTCTTATCTACTTTTCCTGCTAATTCTGAAAGTGATTCTTGTCAGACAACTACAGTGAGCAGCAGTTCAGAGCAAAAGTCATTTTCATATTTGATTGCTGATCAGAAGATACTACAAGGAAACAAAGCAGTTTGCTTCAGGAAACAGAATAATGAGGGTAATAGTTGGGTCACATACTCTGCCATTGACTCTAATAAGCACTTAATATATAGCTCTAATGATGCTTTCTCCATGGCCTGCACAACATCCAGTTTTACTGCTTCTCATATGATAGATACTTCAGAAAAGCAGCCTATACCTGATAGTGTCTCCTCAAAGAATGACTGTTCCACAAATGGCATTCATCTTTTACCTTTGAAAAGAGGCAACAAAAATTGTGGTGATACTTTAATCTCCATAAAACCTTTAAAGAAAATTGAATGTGCAACTGAGAAATCAAAAGTGAAACCTGAAGACAAAAATGTAACTGTACAAAGATCTGTGCCTTCAAAAAAAGATGTAGCTGCTTATAAAGAACTGAAAGACATAAGGAACTGCTCTTCCTTGGCTTCTATCAACAAGTGTCCAAAAGCAAAAACTTGTAGTGTACTAGTTCCTCAGCAAAATGTAGCCCATGATCTTACTGTAAACAGCACTTCAGATTCAGTTAAACTCACAGAAATGGAGAATTCATTAGAAATCTTTCCACCAGCTGTTGAAGACCATAAAGTGTTTTCTTCAGTTCTTGATGGAGCAAGTTGCACAGTAAATTCAGATTCTGATGTAGAAGATTTAAGCCAAGCATCTAATGTTAGTGATTCTAGTAGTACATCTGAATATTTTTCTGTTACTGAGGATCAAATTTCCTGTTGACACTTGAGCACATGCAACAGAATAAAGCTGGAAATTGCTATAAATCTTGAGTATTTTAAAGCAATGTGATCAAATTTGATACCAATTTCAAATATTTTTATAGTATGTAGTGTAGTATTTTGAAACACATAACATCAAAATGGTCTGTCTTAATTTGTTCTCAGAAAGTTAAACTTTTCAAACTGTTAATGTTTAAAACTGCAGGAACAATAGTACAATTGCTCTGTAGCTGTGAGGACCTTCAGATACCATTTTTGAGATTTATACACACTGGTTATTTTTAGTAGTAAAGAAACTCATACAGTGGGCCAATTCCGACTAATTATTTCGCCATCATAAAGCCATAGTTTTTGAAAGCACAGCTTATGAAACTAAATGATCACTTGGCCCTCACCACTGCCAACTCTTGTGCACAGGCTTCACTTTGATGATTGACTTTAACCAGGGCCATTTTCTGTTATGGTCAAAATAAGAAACTGGGATAGTGTTGGCTCACTAAAGAACTGAAGTGAGAATTCCAGATTGATTTTAAGTCCTGGTTAATAAACTACTATTAAACTATGATCCAGTATTGTGGTCTGTAAGATCAAAATGCTAAAGCTGATTTTTAATTTAGCAAGCAGTACAGAAGCCTGGTGTTCTTGTTTACATAAATCCGTGATCCCTGAAGCCAAGAAATAGCACACAATAACATTAGCTTTGGAGTTTGTACCCATAAAGTTCTATAGTAAGCAATTTCTTTTTTGTCTTTTATGTATTTATCTTGTATTGATCCTGAAAATTCTGTTCCTCATTAAATATTAAAATGTTGATAGAATTCTGTTAAACTGTTGCATTAGTAATTTATTCCTACCTGAGTTGTTCACTCAACTACAATAAATCAATTTATTCCTACCTTGCTGAATGGCAGAACCAATGCAGCCAGTATACAAATTATAGTAAAAATTTAAAATATTGAAAATACTCCTAAAATAAACTGCTTTATGTGTTGCAGTTATTTTATGGGCCTTTTCTATAGATCAAACACCTAGTGGCATTAACACTCTTAATATCACTATTGATTAAATATGTACTGTTTAGTTTACAAGCTGGTGTGAAGATATTGTTTTATTCTTGTATTCCGTAGATCAGGGGTCCTTGGTGCCAGTCCGTGGCCTGGGCTGGACTGATCCGTGGAGATAGATCTCCCACATACCCCACATGCACAGCCCCTTCATGCATGCGCACAAGTGCATGCATGCCCCTGTGAGCGCCCCCACCCCTTTGTGCATGCAGACAAGTACACTCACACGCACCCCTTTGCGCATGCAAGTGAGCATGGGGGTTCCCCGCACACGGACCCGGTCCTCCCCCAGCTGGGCCATGGAGTCAAAAAGGTTGGGGACCACTGCTCCAGATCATTAAAAAAAATTTTTGCTTCCATCTAACTTCGTTCCTGCTCCTGGGTTCCAGGCATGCCTCACCAGCTACTGTCCTTCTGTTTCTGTGACATAAGTATTGTCTTTATATCTTCAGACCAGTAAGACTTTGATACAGTTTTTGTATGTAATTTCATAGCTGGAGAAGTATGTTATTTCAGTATGTCATCCCCAATGCTGTATGATTACCATGTCATCACTTTTGGGAGTGATCACTTTCTTCTAATCACTGCTGTGACATGAAGTCAGTCAGGCTACATATACTGGCCCCAGCACTTGTTAAGCTAGCTGACAGCATGTATTTTTAGCAGAGGACACTCCATGGAAGCACTGGAGTCTTGAGGAGAAAGCAAACCTTTCCATAAAAGGTTTCAACATAGCTTTCCTCTGTCATCAGTCATGACATTGGGATCGATCTACAGTACTTGGGTTCAGAAAGGTTACATTGTTCCCTAGCCTTTTATTCCATCCTGGGAAGAGGGGAGTGATTCATATCTCACTTCTCTCTCTAAAGGCAGCTCAGACTTGTGAAAGATTAATGTTCTAATCTTAAGACTCACCTTCTGCATAAAAATTTAGTCTCCCAGGCTTGAGCCAACTCATCTTCTCTGATATATTTCCTGGTTCTCACCCTAAAAAGATTGTGTGTTTCATTTTGGCAGGATGTGCTTGAGCAAGATTCTGGAGTTTTGCCTGGTAGGCAAACAAGGATCTTTCTGAACAGTATGTGGGCATCTAAGAAACTCCCTCTTCTTTTATCTATTAGTATGGACAGCTTCTCAGCAGGTTTTGTATTGTGATATGGAAAAACATTTTTCTGTGTCTCCCATAAGTATAGCGAGTCTGTATTCGAGAAAAGTTCAGGAGCTGGTTTTAAAAATGTATAAATGGGTAAATTGGAATGTGCAATCTCTCCCCTAAAAGAGAGATTCCTTCCACATAGCATATCCCTAAAATATATGTACTTTTTCACTAATTGTAATACTTCAATCTTTGCTTTCCAGCTAAAAACAGCTCCCTTTATTTGGTATTTGCTGCAACCAAATGACAGATTCCCTCAAATATTTTCACTAAGTTTGGCATTATAACTGACCTTGGAAACAGGGACTCTCTTTTCTGGAAATAGCCCATTTAGCAAACCAGTCAAGCAGCCAGTGTTTCCTTGTCATTGCTGCTTAAACAGTGCCATAGCTAAGGGCTAAACCTACATTGCTTTGTTCTTAAGAGTAAGAAGGTGGTTTCTTTAAAGTATACACACAGAGCCTATCTTATTTTGATGATGCAACCTTGACTTTTAGCCAGTGGGTTGCATGATGTATCTTGTGACTGCTTTCAAAATAGGAGTTGTAAACTAAACTTTATTTTTTAAAAAAGTACTGTATTATAAGATGTTCTTATACAGCTGAAATATTTACTTCTTTTTCTCTGTAGTTTAAGCACATTCACTTCTTTATATGTCTGTATAGACATTTGGTTTGCATATATAGAGAAGTAATAGTATCTACCGTCAGCATCCCAGCCAATCGGAACAAAGCTCCTCCCACACGCCATCTCCCCTCATCTGGTTTTAACAAACTACTGGCATACATCCAATTTACCACTGACAATGAAAACTCACCAAGCATAACAATATGCACCTCTAAGCCATTCAATTAACAATGCTCCAAAGTTCTAATTCATTACTAAATTAATAGGACAAGACTTACAAATGCAACTCATATGAACAACAGTCAGCTATCAAATGTGTTTATTTTCTGTGACCTTGCTGTCTGCAGAGCTGATTTCTGGGTTTTTTAAAACTTTATTTATTTTTATTTATTTAACTTTTATGCTGCCCACACTTCCCAAAGGTCTCTGGGCAGCTTACAACAATTTAAATATAATAAAAGATATAAAGATAAAACAATTAAAATACTTGTGTCAGACTGTTTACAATGTAATTTTCAACACATTCCATTTTCTATATCCCCCCCCATTTTGCCAACATTCCACACATACAGAATTCCAAACCTTCCCAATGGCATACTGTCAAAAACTTTGCTGAAGTCAAGATATATTATGTCTACTACAGCATCGTCACTGTACACCAGGGAGGTTACCCAATCAAAACATAGGATTACTGTGGCAGGTTTTGTTCTTGACAAATTCATGTTGGTTTCCAGTTATTACCGTATGACTTTCGAGGTGCTTGCAGATTGACTGCCTTATAATCCTCTCTAGAATTTTCCCTGAAATTGATGGCAGGCAGATCTGCAATTCCTAGATTCTTCTTTTTGTCCTTTTTAAAGATAAGGACTATGTTGCCCTCTTCCAATCATCTGGCAACTTCACCCATATTCCAAGAAAATATTAGACAGTGGTTTCTATACTCTTGAATGCTATTCATGGAGCACTGGAGATTTGAATTTACTCAGAGTATTTCTTGACTATTAATCTCAAGATGCAATCCTGCCCCTCCCCTTTTATTTCAGATTTGCCTGGAGCTAGATAAGCTGCAACTGGCAGACTCTGTAAGGTATATTATAAGCTTTCATGATGAAAATCTGGAAAATCAGCAGAGATGTGTCCAAAAACATTTTTTTAAATGACCAGTTATACCAATTATATTATTGTAACTTCAGTACAAGGGGCAGAATCCAATGATCTGCTGGATCCAGAAACATGAGAGTAACCCCTGCTACCCACTGCAGGTTCAAGCATACATCACCAAGAAACAGGAAATCCTTCATAATAGTTTTTGGGCAGTTATAAAAAGCAGAGACATCACTTTGCCAACGAAGGTCCACATAGTCAAAGCTATGGTTTTTCCAGTAGCGATGTATGGAAGTGAGAGCTATAAAGAAGGCTGACTGCTGAAGAATTCATGGTTTTGAATTGTGGTCCCGGAGGAAACTCGAGAGTCCCCTGGACTACAAGGAGATCAAACCTATCCATTCTGAAGGAGATCAACCCTGAGTATTCACTGGAAGTATTGAAGCTTCAACTTCAATACTTTGGCCCTCTCATGAGAAAAGAAGAGTCCCTGGAAAAGACCCTGATGTTGGGAAAGTGTGAAGGGAAGGGGAGAAGGGGACAAGAGAGGACAAGATGGTTGGACAGTGTCATCGAAGCTACCAACATGAATGTGACCGAACTCTGGGGGGCAGTGGAAGACAGGAGGACCTGGTGTGCTCTGGTCCATGGGGTCACGAAGAGTCGGACACGACTTAATAACTAAACAACAGTTAAGGTTATATGTGAATCTTAATTCACCGTACCTTGCTTTAGTTTTAGAAGTAAGGATATATTATCTAAGAATCCTGATTACTATCATTAATAGTAATATTCTAGTGCTACTCCATAAACATAATCTAGGGGTTTGAGTATGTATCCATCTGTGTCACCATCTCACCATTCTACTGTCCACTCCCTGAAGACAGCCTTCCTTCAAAATGCTTTATTCTTTATTCTTAGCTTTTTCTCAGGACTCATCATCACTTCTCCACCCTCAGAAGAGACACAGAAGAAGTTTCGCTGAAGAACATGGGGACTTTGAATACATTTAGGCATCTCCAGGCAGCAGTACCTCCCTGTCTGCTGTTCCTTCCCCTGCAGAGGCACTATCATTCCTTGATCATTGGAATGGTAATGGTCTCGCCCCCTCAACCATATGCCTACAGTTACAGTCCATTTATTCTTTGCTTGACAAATTTAAATTGTTAATACCTTATTCATCAGCTAGAGGGCTCCTAAAACAACTCACAGATAAGTTAAAACCAGACAGTCCTTGTTCTCAGGCTTATGCTATTAAGAAAAACAATGCAAAAGGGGAAAGGATGCAAATACAAAAAGGAACATCAATTTTCCTGTAGTGGATGATGGCAATCTTGGAGCTCCCGAGCATTCAAGTGGCCAGAAAAAGATTCTTCTTTGCTATTCTCCTAATGGCTTTTAAAATTTTCCACATTACTACTGGAATTCTTAATGCTTTGCAGTCCTCCATAACTGCACCTCATGAATCCTGTTGCAGATAACACTTTTTTTAAAGAAGAATCCCAAAATGTCAAATAATCAATGAACAAAGAGCAGTCCACATATATTTAGGAGTTCTGACTATGTTATTTTAATATATTCTCTTGAGTATGGATCCCCATTGACTGTCTGAGGGGGGGGGTTAAGGAAGGGGTTGAATGCACCATGAACAGGTGCACATCACAGTGCAACACTTCGTTGAAGGTACCATTTGTGAAATTAACCAGAAATTCTTTAAAGTTAAGACAGTAATCAAACAATTCCTAGATATCAAAATATAACTATTTTTTACAGATGACAGTAAGATTGTCCTTCCAAAACAGTTAATCTTCAGCAGAACCAAACATTCATTTCTTGATTTATTACTACACATTATTCAGTTTCTCCCAATAGCTGTCAGTTAGTTGCTCAAATGCGTGCACAACATTATCATCTTCATTATCACAAAGTTCACGCAAAGAAACACTGGAAAACACAAGAAACAGTAACTGTTAGCTGTTACTTTTGTTAGAAAAATTAATACTTATACTCTGGTCATTAAAGGTGTGTTGATGCGTTTAATGGGATGGCTAAATTTCATCAGGCTCTGATATCAAACAAGAGACCAATATTAGAAGTCCTCAAATTCTTCACCAGGTCAGATTACAATCCTAGTGGGAGGGCATTTTCCTTCCAAAATTGATACAAGGAAATAAATTAATGGTTAAAACTAAGATCTGTTATCCTAAGGTCGTCTAAAAGGGGGAGTCTATCCTTTTCCAATTTTCCCAAGGATATGTATACTAGAAGTTTCATCATAAACTTCTAGTATACATATCTCTTGTTGCCGTGCTAAGGAACTGCTTTAAAGAGATTGCCTCGATACCCAAGAAAGCTGGAGGTGGGGCTACTTGCTTCCTGTAACAGTTTTGTCTCGGCCTTTCAAAGCAGACTACAGTGGTACCTTGACTTAAGACGTCCCTAGTTGCGAACAATTTCAGTTATCAGTGGCTCCGTTCGCAAAAAGTAGCTTCGACCTGCGAACGGAGCCTCGACTTACAAACTGAAAAAAGGAAAAAAAAAACTTCCCTGCCCTTTTTTTGTCCTAAATTCACCCTAGGTAAAAAGAAGAAGAAAAATTAAAAATCCCCCCTAGTGGTAGAGTACAGATTAACTGGCTTTGCATTAGTTCCTATGGGAACTAATGCCTCAACCTACAAATGGAAAACAGCAGATACAGATTGAATGGTCTTCAGTGCATTCCAATGGGAAAGTTTGACTTGATTTGCAAACTTTTTGAAGTACAAACTTAATTCCAATACGGATTAAGTTCGTAAGTCAAGGTACCACTGTATTTGGGGTAAAACAACTAAATTCCAAACCATTCCTAGCAAGACTGCAGTAGAGTATATTTTGGCTCCTAACTAGGTAGCCTATTCTGCCATAAGAGTTAAGGCAGTAAGAATTTTTGAAAGGTGGAGAACATGTCCATGCAGACAAATATTATTTATTCTTAATATATTTCGAGATTGTTTATTGTATCAACCATAGCAGCTGATGAGAGCCTTTGCTATACTCCTAATCAAAACGCAGCAATCAAAATGCAGGCAGCAGCATTCTACATCAAAAACTGTTAATGCTGTGATCAGTTCTGTCAGTAAGGCTATAATGGATCTAGTGACACTGATAAAAAGTCTATGTTCTTTAAGAAAGGTTAAAACTGAAATTTCAAATTTGTTCAAAAAAAAAAGGCAGTATCATGGCACCTAGCAACAAAACTAAATCTAGCAGTACAGTATTTGTTAAGAGACTGAAAAGATAACAGAGTGGAATGATCTACCAGCCCCATAATGCAAGATTATGCTACTAAGCACAAGCATTGCCGCTGAAGAAGTGGGTTTTCTTTATAGAGATCACCACTTGTGCAGCAGTAGCAGTTATGCCAGCCATATGATCTTGTATTAATATGCTGGTGGGATTTTCTGTTAATGGAAGCTCAGTAGGTTACTAGCCTATGTATGTTAAGGGACAAGCAACCCCACAGTTTACATACTTTACATACTAAGGGAGCTTTCTCTTCCCTTACACTATTTTTGGAAAGTAACCAAAGCTTTATATATACATTTCAGAACAGATTCCCATTTGTCCATAATGAGAAAAAAATTGTGAGAATTTTGACCTGTTTATACACGCCTTTTTAAGTGAGATCACATATTAGTGGGCATCATAAAGAAGATTAAGCAGTTAAGTGGATTTCTCAGTTCTGGGGGAAGAGTCCAATCGACCCAGCCACCTGTGGTGGTGATATTCGTATTCGTCTCTCCCAGGAGACAAATACAAATATCCTGTCTCTAGTGAAGAATAAGCAAGACTTCATTGCAAATCCAGTGATTTGCTGTATTTTTCATACCTGATTGCTTTAAGAGCCAGAGAAAAGTCCTTCAGCAAATTGTAAGCTTCTCCTTCCAGAATTCTAAAAAGAGAAAAAGTTTACAGTTACATGTTTTATATTATTCAATTGATACAACTAACAAGGTGTTCTCAGAAAGAAAAACAACTGTCTTGGGTGTAAATCCCTAGTAATGAGGAATTTTTGCAATTACTGTAATTTAATTGGGGTCCTGAAAATGAAGGCCTGAAATCATTGTGAATGCATCTTTTTAGTATTCAAGTTCACTAGAAAGCTTAGAAGTTGGGGGGAAATCCTGTTAAATTGGGAAAAGCTGCAATAAGTGGTGGTATCTCTCAAAATCAAGTCAAGGCATCTTTATAAAGGGGGACTTAATTTGTATCTGACTCAGTGGCCAGAATCCTGTTGGTATATTTATATGCACATGTGGCTCATTGTATCAGCCATGGTGATTGGTTTCTAAGTTTTCCATCCCCACCCCCAGGGGTTTTTGAGGCTTGCTATGGCCATTTTGACTCGAGGAAGCTTTTGGGGGCCTCAAGATGGGGGGGGACTTCAATGTCTGAAAATTAGCCCTATTGGGAGTGGAATATTAAAGGTTCCCTCTCCCTGCAGTCCTGAGGCCCCCAAAGGCTTCCCTTAATCAAAAGCGGGGTGTGTATCAATAGGAAACTTTTAATTCAAGATAAACAGCTGTGATTGATATCATCAGCCTTATTCACACACAACTGCACCAATAAGATCTCAGCCACTATGAATGTAGTGCATTAATTTTTTGGATTATTTATACAGATGGTGAAATGAGTGAGAAAATAAACCACATACCCATTATCCTGAGACATTGCCACCAAAGATCCATGTTTATAGAAGTCAAGCACATATGAATTTAGTGGCATAATTCTTCCCTGATTATCACACATCTTTGGATGGAGGATAGGAATGTCCGAAGCCGTAATACCTATTGTGCGCAATATGACCTGGAAGAGTAACACAACATATTGTCTCTATTATGCAGTAATTGTTTCTATCATGCAGTAATTCGGCATGTCCATTTGCCATACTGTAATAAAATTGCCCTTAATGTATACATGGCAGCCAAAGAGTCTGTTCCATTCACTTTGCATTGGGAACAGCGCGGAAATAAGTATCTCAAACAAAAGTATAAATACATGCTAATATATGGCCAATTTTAAAAACTGGCCAGAATCCTTCTATGGATTTATGCTTGTGGAAATGTCATCCTGAAAATCACAGTAGTGGATATTTGCCAGTTGCAACCTGCATTCTTGGTTTTGTACCATTTGTGGGACTAGGGCCTGTTCTCACAGTCAAAATAAACCAACAGAGATTTTTTTTTAAAAAAATGGGCTAGAGTCACATGGACTTCAGCCAGAATCCCAAACTTTTGTGGTGGTATGTGCATCCTCACCACCACTGCCACCTCCTTGGATTTTCTGCAATCACCTCTGCCATTAAGTGCTGATATAGGGAGGCAGAAGGGAGAACAGAAAGGGAGGGGGAGGAGAACGAAAGAGAAATGGGGCAAGGGGTGAGAGTGCAGGGATAGGTGCCTGAGAACTGGGCGAGAGAAAGTGAGGGGGGGTAACCAGTGAAGCAAAGGGGTGCTCAGGAGGGCAGTGAAGGGGCTATCGGGCAGGTAAGTGTGGGGGGAGAAGGTGGGCGAGTAAGAGGGGAAATTAGGCAGGTGAAGGGGCAATCAGGTGGGTAACAGGTGGGCAAAGAAGCAATCAAGCATGCAGAGGGGTGAGCAGTAGTGGGGCAGAGAGCAAGCAGGCATTTGGGTGAGCATGCAAGGGGAGCGAGTGGCTGGGCACCAGCTTTTTCAGCAAGCCCAGACAGTGTTTTTATTTATTTACTTTTTAATTCCTGCTATCTATTATTTATTTATTTATTTAATTTATATGCCGCCCACACTACCCAAAGGTCTCTAGTAGCAGGAAATTTTTTTAAAAGTGGATGGGGCATTCACATATGCAGACTATTCCATATTCACCCCATATTCATCTTTTCCAGTCCTCCGGCCACTGTTGAGTTTTCCAAACATGCTGGCATATTGAGTGTAGCACCTTAACAGCATCATCTTTTAAGATTTTAAATAGTTCCACTGGAATGCCATCACCTCCACCACCCTTGTTGTTAGCCAAGCTTTCTAAGGCCCATTTGACTTCACTTTCCAAGATGTCTGGCTCAAGATCAGCAACCACACTTTCTGGGTTGTCTGGGAGATCCAGATCTTTCTGGTATAATTCCTCTGTGTATTCTTGCCACCTCTTCTCGATGTCTTCCGTTTCTGTTAGGTCCCTCCCATTTTTGTCCTTTATCATGTCCATCTTTGCACAAAAGGTTCCTTTAATATATCCAGTGTTCTTGAACAGATCTCTGGTTTTTCCCTTTCTATTATTTTCCTCTATTATTATTATATTATTATTTATTTTATTTATAGCCCAGCTATCTGGTCTTGTGACCACTCTAGGTGGCTCTATTTCTTTGCACTGTTCATTTAAGAAGGCCCTCTTGTCTCTCCTTGCTATTCTTTGGAAGTCTGATTCAATTTTCTCTAACTTTCCCTATCTCCCTTGCATTTTGTTTCACTTCTCTGCGATTTGTAAGTCCTCGTTGGACAGCCACTTTGCTTTCTTGCATTTCTCTTTCTTTGGGATGGTTTTTGTTGCTGCCTCCTGTACAATGTTAAAAGCCTCCATCCATAGTTCTTCAGGCACTCTGTCCACCAAATTGAGTTCCTTAAATCTGTTCATTATTTCCACTGCGTATTCATAAGGGATTTGGTTTAGATTATACCTGACTAGCTCAGCGGTTTTTCTGACTTTCTTCAGTTAAAGCTTGAATTTTGCTATGAGAAGCTGATGATCAGAGCCACAATCAGCTCC